ATGGCAATATGTTATAGTATGCAGGCAGAGCTCATCAGGAAAGAGAGGACGAGAGGCTTTGTTCCAAATGTCACGTTGCATATTTATGGGTGCACTGGAGTGGCTCCTTGTATAAGCACCATTCACCATCTATCAAGCAAAACCACTACACTGTCTCTTTGACAACTTGGTAGGATAGTGTTACGTGACAAAGTGATCATACCAGGCCATCGGCTCATGGCACATGCCAAATTTTCCTGAGAAATTAACTGTCATTTAGACAATAATGTAGGCTGAGGTTAACAAATTATAATTATTAGTTACTGTGCATATAATTATTTTTATGGCAGGATGCTTCTATTCACATAAGATTGTCATATTGTTGATAATAGTTTATTTTATATATTTTATAACGCTCTTTCTTTTGTTATGTGACAAAAGGGGCTATGCATTCTCTGCTTGCCTCCGAGTGAGATATCAAAGTGGGAGAGAATAAGGTGACACGGGAGAGTGTCAGACAGAAAGATAGACAGACAGTCAGATATAAGCAGAGTCTTCAGCATAAGCTCCACTGAGCTCTCGTTCCACTAAGGAGGATCTCAGGAGAGTTGTGTGCTGGCTGGCTGTGCCTGGGCCATATAGCACAGGGTGGGCAGTCTGACTGTCTGCCTGCAGTGCTACTCCTTGGGGATAAGAACATGGCTTGAGGGCTGTAGTTTATTTGAGATGGTCCCAGTACTAACCCCTGGGGGACACCAACCGGGTAGAATTGGTTCTCTGAAACTCTCTTTTCAGGCTCTTACAAGCAGTGGAGCTTGGTGGCTGTACAGAGAGGGAACAAGAAGAGGGCTTTCATCTTGACTGTGAGCAGCTCAGTGGATTTCCTCCAAATTACAGGGAGTGATTACATTCCACCTTGTCTGCCACATGCCACCCCCTTCTTTTAGAACGGGGCCCCAGGGCAGCCAACCACTGTCAACTGTCAGTGCTTACAGCTGAGTCATTAAGTGGAAGTTGAACAATGTGTCATTGGCACAGAAATAATAAAAAGTAAAACCCAAACCCAATTGTAGGAATGCTTGTTACACCTTGTGGGTAATTCACCACAGCTTATATATTTTCATGCTTTACTGTACAGTTACAAGATATGAAATACTCTCAGACCACTCTAATATCCTGTATAGCAGAAGGTTTAACCACCTGTTTTGGTGAATGGTTTTGCTGCTTTCAGATCAACAATGAGCAGTCACAAGAGTTTGAACAAGTCAGCCATTTAAAGCAACCCTCGGTTCTACAAAGGCAACAAATCTAAGTATCAAGCCTTGCAGCTGAGGTTTTGCTGGCACCTTTTTTGATGGAAAAAAGGATTCCCATCACTTTCAAGCTATTACTTCCATATAGTTAGGGATTACATAGAAGCAAGAACAGGGACATCCTGTCTACCAATCTATTTTTTTAATCTGAAAACTCCCCCAAGCTTTTCCATTATCTTCTCCATATCAAGCTTGACCTGAAGAGAAAACCTGGCTTCAGAAGGGTCAGTGCAGTCTAGACTTTCCCCTCATCCTACACCACTAACCCTACCTCCAACCCCCATCCTGCATATTGCTTTAGGATACAACAGGGATGCACCCCTTCTTTATAATTCCCACTCACCTTGAGCCTCTGCCTCCTTTGGTCCAGTCCCCTATTTCCCACCTACAATAGCATCCCCGTCACCATAATCTTTCTATTTCACTTGTCCGCCCCTTGGGGTTAAGGGGTCTGGCGAGTGGAGACAGGATTTGTCTCGCAGTTGACAGCACTGCTGCTGTGCTACTGTTATCCTGGATGGTCAGAGCATTTTTGAAGAAAATTCACTTGCTGTTTGTCCAGACATCAGTGTTTTAGATGTTTGTTTGGAATGACATCTAACCAGTTTGTCCCCATCTGTAGGCCCCTACAAAGCTGGGCCACAGGGAATATATGACGTTAGCAATAACCAACTGATAATGCTGACAACTCTAAATGTGCAACAGAACATCATATGTAGGATTAATGCTTGTTTCAATTAGACCTGTAGTAATTACTCCATTAATCAATGAACTATTTTGATAAAAGATTCATGGTTTCAGTCGATGTCATTTTTTAACCAAAAATGCCTTTTCCTGGTTACAGCTTCTTAAATGTGACCTTTTGTTGGCTATGTACAATGGCAAAAGGGATATATTTGGGGTTGTGGGCTGCTGGCTGACTCAAACAATGTGCACACTGTGAACACATCCTTTGCCTGTGGAAAACTATACATTTAACAAAATTATGAGACAAAAACTAGCACAATCAGCAGATTAATTAATAAAGAAAATAATCAAAGCGGTAGCCCTAATTACAATTATAATGTTAATAATGCTATTGTTAATATTTCTGTTACTACTCCTATTAATACTACTACTAATAGTACTAATAATATGCTGTGGATTATTATGAGCCATAAAATAACATAGTGTTGTACAATATAATATAATGTTGCAGTCCACAGAACACAAGTTAAAATTTCAAACAAAGAAAGTAAAAGTTGTTGCAAGAGAAAACTGCATTACAAGCAATAACTAGAACTGTGAGAGGTCAGTTCAAATATATGATTTTATTGACTGTCAAATTACCAAGCTGCATATTAAATAATCCGCATCAAATGCCAGCGAGGATATAGCCTTAGTTTTAAGTTTCTGCTTAATTTTAACCACCAACTTTATGACCTGGAAAAACTGATCACCTTTTTATTGCATTATTGGTTTTATTGTATTAAGCAATCAAATTATGGATACATTTAGTGCACTCAGGGACAGAGCTGCATAATGAGTGTGCCACATCTTACATAGCAAAAAACTACTTTCTATTACAACTAAGGCCGTGTATTATGATAACAGAAGGACAAGTAAATGTTAGTGCACAGAGGTCATTTTTGAAGGCCATAGAGATAAACAGTTTTTTTTTTCCTAAAATTTCTCCAAAGCAAGCAACAATGAAGGGAACAGGGAACAAAGGGGGGAAAAAAAAATCTTCATTGAATATTCATTAACCGTGCCTAGGTGTATACATGGCTCTTAACCACTCTTGTTTATGACTTAAGGACTTGTAGTACTGACCTTAGTTTAACACAGCAGCAGATACCAAATTAACCTCTAGCCTCTACAGGGCTAGCCATGCCCTGCTAACAAGCAACCTGTCTAGACACACGAGAAGTACTTTATGATTCCACCTCTCACAATCCCTCTCTTGCTGTCTTTCTCCCCCTCGCTTGCTCTTTCTCCTGTTAACATATCCTGGCACATTCTCTCTTCCTCTAACCTGTTCTATCTTTCACCTTACCATTTCATCCATACTCTCCTCCTTACACCATTTTTCATGTACCTCCAAAGCTGTGCAGTGTTTGGGTCATGCACCCAGCAACCAATGTTTTATCAGATGGTAGACTTTTTCTTATCCTTTGCCACACAGCATAGCCACAACACAACAAAATAAAGATCTGAAACCTCCAGGATTCTTAATTTCAGCTAGACCAATAAAATAATAATATATGGTCTTATACTTGTATAGCACTTTTCTATATATTGCAGCTCACTCAAAGCACTTTCACACTATTTGGCCATTCACCCTCCCACACCGGTGTCATCACTGAGAGCTCAGTGATTTGCATAAGTGACTGGACAAGCTGGGAAACAAACCGCTAATCTTCCATTTAGGAGACGACCCACTCTACCTCCTGAGCCACAGCCCAGTCCCCTTAAGAAAAGTATAAAAGACTATTATACAACAGCAAGCATGTTATTAGAGCTAAAGGAATTAGGATAAGCAAACAAGTCTACAAATAAGAATTAATAGGCCTCCCTCAATTAAATGGGGCCTATTAGTTGAGAAAATTAAAATTTTCATGTCATAACAAATCTACCAAAAAGACAAATATTGAGACATTTTGAAGTTTTATTATAGACATAATTTATACTGATCCATGCATGTTATTCCTTTCCCTTTCTCAAAATAACACGGTAATATATTTTAGTCTTAGGTTTAATTGTCTTGTATACATTTAAAAAAAAAAAGTGAAATCCCTGTTATAATTCTCATAATGCGAGTTATATTTCTTTTCATCTTCTTCTTTTTTAATTCAACCAACAGTTCAAAACCTCAAAATAATCAGTTTGTAAAGCTGAAACCAGCAAAATGTTTTGAAAAGTTGCTTCAAATTGACTAGAACAAGGTATCAATTATAAAACACTAGTTGCATATTTATTTTCTGTAACATCAACAATGAATTCATTAATAGTTGCAGCTCTATACTGTATTTACAGTCTGTGCTATGATCCTGACACTGCTCTTTCTCCAGATCCTTCCTTCAGATCAGACCAAGTACTGTACATCTGGTGACCAGCTACAAGTCCACTGTCCAGCAGCAGCCAATTTCCATTGAGACTAAAAGTTTGCATGGGTCTGTGGACACTGTACTAAAAGTTTGCATAGCACAGAAACACAGAGATTAAACCTCCCTCAGATTCTGTGGCATATTATAGATCTGTGTCATTGCACGAAAGAAACTTTGATGAAGGTGCAGCATGGCTAGGAAAAAAAATCAATATTATCTTCTATCAATTTTCCATAAAGATAGTTTATAACTAAGATATCATATTGAGATATTAAGGTTCATACTTCTAGTTAAAAGAATGATAAGCTTTGGCTACACAGACAACAATTTGCTGAAATATAGAATGTCACCAGGCTTATCATTAGAAAATCAAATACTCAGTATAGTGTTAATGTCTGACATCCTATTTAGGTAAAGACATAATTCTGTTTGCAAAGAATACAAAAAGTTATAGGGTAACCTGCAAAATTTAAATGCCATTGTGAAGAAAATCAAAATGTGTCTTAATAAAGACAATGAAATATGACATACTCTCAACTACAGCACACATCTTCAGTGTTTTCATCTCTATATCCAGTCTTTCTACTGTTATAGCTCTCTAGAGTTTGAGGGATACCACCGCGCTGTTTAGATTTTTGTCCTCACTCAGCCACCATACGGAACTCGCTTCTGATTGGTCAATTCACGGGCCATGTTAAATACAATCGTTGGGAGAACGTCCATCGGGTGAGTGAAATCCTAAATTTGTAGCTAATGCTGACAACCTAAAAAGTAAACATTTACAAGTGTATTTATGTCCGCTTCGATTTACAACACGTGTACATTGTACGTATTTGGATAACGACTCTTTCACGCCATTATAAGTGCAAACCTATTCATTAAAGACTTTGCAGTTAGCAGGTTAGCAAGAATAATTAGCTATGTTAGCAGCTAAGGTTAAACGTGTAGCTATTAATTCCTGTTTTCGGTTGTTGTACGTTATGTTTAAATAGAAGAATTACTACATGTTGCCACATACGATACAAAACAAAATCTACTGTTTGGCTTGACGAATGAACGCCATCGAGCAGTAACGTTAGTGATACCATAGCAGGTATGATGCTAATATAGCTAGTAGACATAAATTAACCGTGATATCTGGTGTTTACCTAATAGACTGCAGTCAAGATGAGTCTGAGAAAGCAGACCCCGAGTGACTTTCTGAAGCAGATAATTGGGAGACCGGTAGTGGTGAAACTGAACTCTGGTGTGGATTACCGAGGTAATGTAGCTGGCAGGTCTGAAATGTTGTCTGAAATGTTTACTTGAACGTAACAAAAGCGCACATGTGTGGTCTGTCTTCAGGTGTCCTGGCTTGTCTGGATGGTTACATGAACATTGCCATTGAGCAGACAGAGGAGTATGTCAATGGGCAGCTCAAGAACAAATATGGAGACGCTTTTCTACGAGGAAATAATGGTAAAGGTTTATATCTCCAACTTACATTTTGACTACTGAAGACTTTAGGTAATGTTGGTCATCTTGAAAAGAAATGCATGATTTTATTTTATTTTTGATGTATGCACATTTATTATGGCCGTGGCACTTGTGCTTATTATCACTGCAGGTGTCTAATATGCTTTTTACTTCTCTTTTTTTGTAAACAATGTTATACCCCTCACGAATCCACAGTTACACTCCATAATGCTTCATAGGTTATAATGTTTTAGTACAAAACATCTGAAGATGTGTTGCTGGAGGAAAAAACTAAAATGACTTGTGTAGTTTTAATTACAAATAGCAATACAGCTCATTGTTTATGTACTGTATAAATGTTACGTTTCCTCATGTGAGAAGCTTATCAATTAGAGATGTAGATTAACAAAGCCTCATAAGTTACTACTAAAGAAAGAAATTTAGGCCCAATTATGACACATACCAGTGTTCTTCATCTTAAGAGTAGCTAGCTCATTGGAAAAAGGGGGAGTTTACTGTCATGTCTATTATCCAACACACATTACAATTTTGTTCTCACTTCTAATAGCTCACTCTCATTTCTAATAGCATTAAGCTTTGGTTCTATTCAAGTGTTTCAGTAGACGTGACAGTGAGCCAGAATGCAACGCCAGAACCCTGAAATTGAGCCGTCTAACTGAAATTCAGCTGTCATTAATTTTATTGTTTACACTGGTCTGTAACATGTCAATGTCTTTGTTGAAAAGGTTTATCCCTTTCCTGAAAGTAATATCAACTATCATGTCATGTTGCAGAAAAACAACAGATTGGGGTTCAGAAATAGTTCTAAAAAATATAAAGACACTGACCTACTTTTATCCTTAACAGATTGTTCATATTTCAGATCACCAGGGTGCCACCTTTAAGTATGAATTTTTCATTGGTAGTGACACATGTGTGCTCCATCAGCTCAGTCTAAGGATCTTGTGGGCTGCATCCCAGGTAGTGTGCTAGATGCAAATGCTCCAAATGAGGCCAATTAACACAACTTTTTCAACAAAAAAGTAGATTTTGGTTAAAATAAGAGTCAAACCTGAGGGATATTTTACCAAACTGAAGCTTAATAAAACCTACAGTCTTAAATTTATCCTGAGAATCCCACAACAGAACAAGTCAACATTTTATCTCTAGGAAGAGAAATGTGACTTTTTTTTTTTCTTCTTCATGAGATCTGCTTCAGTGCGTCAGTGTTTCCCACAGAGAATTTATTTGTGGTCAACCGTGGGAAGTGGAGGGTGGGGTGACTCCAAACCACACTGAGCATAAAGAGTCAGCTGTAAAGAACAGTGCATTTACAAGCCAACTGACAGTTCTATATTAACGTACCGTTGCAGCATAGTTCTCAATAAATCCGCACTTTCATATGCACTCAGCATCTTTGCTGGGGACGACTGTATTTGGCTCCACTATGACTTGTCTGAGCTCTGCTCACTTTTAATTTTGGACTTTTTTAAAAATTGCTTTTCCACTTTCTCCTTTTTACAAATTACTTGACAACAAATTCCCTGTGTTTTATAAGTTAGAATTAGATTTTCTCAGCATTGCCTTAAATCTCTGGAAAGATGAGAAGTTCTCATTTGATACTTGATCACATCAAATGACCATAAAATATTAAATTGTTTTAAAATATCACTTTGGTCTCAGAAATGTCATTGTATTTCTCTGTAAAACTACATGGTCTTTATTTTTCCTTTCTCCACAGTTCTTTACATCAGCACCCAGAAGAGGAAAGTGTAGTGAAGATCATTTTGTGCTTTCATTCTTATTTTCCAGTATTTCATATGAGTGAACAGCTGTCATGTGTTTTTGGTTACGTAAAGCCTGAGGTCCTGAAGAATGTTTTTGTAAAAATGGAATAAGGTAATAAATTTTGTTTGAGTTTTGCGTTATGTCTGATTTTGTGAATATTCACATTTTGGTGTTTAATATTAGAAAAGAAACCAATGAAACTCATTTGTTTGTAAACATGTAAAACCAGGATTTGAAATATCAGCATAATGTTAATAGGCCTAATTTGGAAAAAGATGTCATTCTTGTGAGTTTTGGGATGAAACTCTTAAATGTCCATCAGGCTTCTCCAGTGCCAGTGGGATTGTTGTAGTAAAAAATTGCTAAATAATTCACTCAGTTTATCCCTGGAGCACACACATCTACCACTGTTTTACCACAAGGCTTCAAAAGGATTAGAACATAATTTTGTAATTTGTCAGTATTAATGTGCTAATTCCGTAAATGATCTTGATACGAAACCCATTACTAAATAGCCCTTATACAGATGTACTTATTACAAGTAATTTGATGAATGGCTGTTTGTACAACTCAAAATTGAACTAATCAAGTAATATTCCTCATAAAAAACAATTTCTAAACAAAATATTTTTGAGCCTCAGTATTTATCTTGCTTTCAAATTAAACACGAGTTGTGTTACTAAAAGTTCTTATGGCTCAGTAGGACTGCACTTGATAGCTCTGTACTGATGGGACTACTGTAATGGAGTGTTTACTTCAATCCAGTAAAGTATATGCTTCAGTATCCAGTAGAGCAAAATCATAAGGCCTACAATTAACATGATATCTATCTATATATATATATAGACTATGAAAAGTTGCTTGTTTTAATGCTTCATTATGGACAGATTCAATATATATCGGGGCCGTATCGCATTCTGGCCTTTCAAGTATCCGTTACTGAATAACACAAAATGAGAGTGACTGCAGGACTAATCTATAAATGGTGCCATCTGCAGGCTATGTCAGGCTGCATTAATGTGTAAACAGATCAGTTTCCACTGTCCTGTGCATATGTCTGCCATGTTTTAGTGCTCTTGAATGTTTCAGAACACAGCTCACCTTTTGTCATATGTGACTGCATACAGATGTTCTTTGTTCATAAATCTGGCTTAGATTGGCTCTGCCATCTCCACTCGCGTTGCCCTGTGCAAATGAATGTAGCAGCATATGCAAGGAATTGAAAGTTTATTCTGTTTCAATGTGGCCTGTGGTAATTCAGCAAATGAGTTCAAAAGTGTTATCACCTCATTACGCTAAGATAAGAACGCTATAAATATATGATTCATTAGGCTCTTAATGAGAATGCTGTAGTGTAGAGGCAGTGAGGGGAATTCTTCTCCTTTCAAGAGTGGATTTTTGAGAGCCTTGTTTTCCAACCTGTACATGCGCACTCTGGCCCCTGGAAGGAGACAAAAGGCTGCCAAGGTCAGGCCCGACTTGAGGATGAAGGACACGTTATTGATCAAACTCTGCCAAGCTGCAGCTGTAGAGAGGGAATGTTGGGAGGGGAGATTGAGCTGCAACACAGACACACACAGGCAGACATAGGCACTGAGTGATGTGTACACAAACGCATTGTACACAGTGCAACACACGAATCATTATGGCACCTAGTGAGGGTTAGCACAGGCAAATATTTACCCACTGGAATCATAACCGAGCCGCTGGCGCTGTGGCCTCACCGGGAACCCAATTAATACCATTCACACAAATGACCTGGTGGCAGACATCATGCTACTGAACTGTTGTTATAAATACAATAAACTGATGCATGCTTTATTTTGGATCACTGAAATAATGTACCTGATGAATGTGGAAAAGAAACAGCTCTTTTTATGTCTCATAGCTTTGTTTCAAGATGCCTTTTCCCCTTGTCTGGCTTAGTTCGTACAGGGCAGCGGTCCCCACTCATCCCATTAAAGCAGACTGGCTCAGGGGCTGGCAGAGGATGCTGCAGTGGCTCAGCGTTGATGTATGGAGGTGAGTGATGGAGGGGAGAGGACAAAGGAGGACAGAGTAGGTGACAGCCTTGTTATGTAGGAGAAGGGGAGACTTAAGTCTTACAGCACCACCAGCTGCCAGACCTACAAAACTACAGTAGAGTCACAGGAGGGAGGGACAGTGGTGTACGACTTTGACCCTGACTGATCACTGCAGCATGACTGTCTAGCCTTTTCACAAGGGATGAAAGGATGACAAGGACAACTGAAAATCAGGTTTTTTGAATGTCTGGCTGTACCATGTTCTCATTTGCACAAGGACAAATTTCTATCTTCTATGCAAATCGATTCAGTGTGCATCTTTTCATATGAATGGTTTTGCCAGGGTTGATGGTTAGACTACTACACATTGGGAACATTTAAGTTATATTTTTCTCCCTCTGTTTCGTGCTGCACACATAGAGCAGTGTTGAAGGGAAACAGCATATGGTAACTTAACGCACTGTGTGCGCATAGAAGAAATAATACGGTGAATGTATGGATGAGACACAACAGCAGAATTTACAGCTTCAAACATGACCATTTGGCTTAATCAACACCTCCCAGACTCAAGTTAAAAATACACCGTAAGTTCAACAAAGTGCACATTTCCCGCATTACATTACACTGTCACTGTGTCTAAGTAACAATTAGTTTTTGCATGTGTAAACAAGCGTCCTTCCTCACAGTATATTGGGATCTGTGATCTTGTATATGAACTTGACCGGCTTTAACCTCTGGCTGACAGCCTGTCATGTGTTTAGGATGTAAATGATGGCGGTGACCTCCCACGGTGTCTCTGCTCTCACATTCCACTGGCTGTGTCAGAAGTCCTGTGAGGTTAGTGCAGAATAAACAAACACCTTAGAAACAGCACGTCAATAGCAGATCATTGTTGATAACAGCTGCTACTAATTAATAAACCGAATGGTGCTTGTTTGTCTATTAATCGAGTAATTAGTTATGGGTGTTTTACTCCTCCAATATATCAGAATGAAGCAAGTGTTAATGTGCATTACTGACCGTTTAGTCTAGTAGAATCAGTAACCTAAATCCAGGTTAAGGTTTGGTGGTCATTTTGATCCTAATTGAGTGTGAGGCCCTGTCCTGGCTTGTGCTGCTCTACAACCCCTAGGCTCTTTATTTAGCCCTGAGGACAGTCAACCTTGGCCAGAAATGTGACCCTTGACCTTCTTATCTGGAAAAAGCTATTCCCAGAATGGACAGTGTGCTCTGTGATTTATCTTGGCTCCAAATGGCTGCATGATACAGCTGGTAAGGTTAGGGGAGCCTAACTAGGTACCCTTCAGGAGGCCAAACAGCAGTACTGTTGCACTCATGCAGCATTTACTGTGTATGTGTTGTTCAAGATCTAATACTATGAACAATAACAGATTTACATGCAACAAGCAGGAAGAGTCTTGCATGGTACAGTAACATGGTCCATGTGAGTCCTTGAACCTTGACCCCAAAAAGGCTCCAGCTGTTCCACAACAGCAGGGTCTAATTTTGGAAACACACTCGACTGAAATCGTGTTACATGTTAAACATATTGTATTACTGATCTGACTCACTCATGCAAACAATAAGCTGAAAGGATGTGAATACAAAACACGTGGTCCCAATTCTTCTCAACAGAGCAGTAGTTGTTTAGCCTGTATGTTTTATGCCAGCCTGTCTTAATGAACTTTGTCATAACACTGTAACCAAAAAGAGGTGAGGCTTCAGGCTCAGGGTAAACTGTGGCATAACTTCTATCTACTTATGTATTCCAAAATGTAAAACAAATTTAAATGTAGTTTATCTGAATGTTTGTTGTGGATTATTTCCTTCCTATATTTGATTTGGTGTTGGCGGCGCTTTATATATATATATACACACTCAACATTTCAGTAAACATGGACAAAAAGTCCATGCTCAGACCTAAATAAATAAACAAACAGGTAAACAAACAAACAAACATCAATTGATGAAGATTATGCAAATACATTTTCAACAATAGAAAAAAATGGCAGATTAAACATTTAATTATTAGGCATTTTCACAGAGAGGACTACATCTCAACTTTGAAGAAAAAGGCCTGTTAATACAGCTCTGAAAGCAAAATGATCAAATGCCATTGAATAAACAGTATTCAGAAACCAGAAAGCCTTGCAATTTGCTTTACAAGATTAACCATGTGACCTGACCCTGCTTCAGCAGATTTAAAAACAGCTCCGCTATCTTTTCACAGGTAGTGCCAACTATTTCATGTGCCATTGTCCTAAGGTTCAAACCAAAACCTTTTAATTTAAATTTTATTCCAGGTTCATTATAAAACAAATCATAAGTGGGCAAAAAAAAAAAATCCCACACAAAACAGACTGTTACTAATACTTTGTAAGTTAAGGTTGTACGGATGTTATTGTATCTGTGGCTGTTGTGGAACCTTATCTCACTAAATATATTGAAGTATATTTAAGAATGAGCTCATCAGTGCTTGTGGGCAATAATTACAGAATATGAGTTAACCAGCTTGTGTCAAAGAGCCATTTTCAATCACATTTTTACTTCATAATGGCTATTGCTTGTCCTGTTTGTCAGCCAAGTCTCACTACTAGGCACATGAGATTTGCATGAAATACAAACTAACCCTGCACTCCGGCAATTAGCCTCCATTATGCTGGCGGTCCGATTGCCAATTTGTCTGCCATGCCAGGTAATCCAGAGCGTTGCTGGCAAGCGCCCACAATGGTAATAATAATGGTAAGAGTCTTTTGTTGTTCCCTCTCAGAGTAACGACCCCAGGCAGCCAGTGTGTCACTGGATGAAATGTTGAGGAAGTGGAAATGTTTGCATTGCAGTCAGGAGTCAAGACATGAACCTTTGCCCTAACATACTACAGTCCAAAGACTTTTAGGCCGCAGCTGTTTAGGATTTAGTCAAATTTGTAGCAATTACTTTGATAGATACAGTAGAATTATAACCAAAAGAAATGATGATGGCCAAACTATGAAACTATGACCCATACCATTATAAAGTGGAACGAACCTTTAATGGATCTTGGTTGAGTTGCTTTGAGGATTGTTGGGATATTTGTGTGTGTTACAATTAAACCAGTTAGACATCCCACTGAGGTTAGCAACATCTTTGCCAAGAGAGACGTGAAGTTACAACAGCATAATACAACATTAAACACACATGTAAAACAAAACTAAAAACCAGGTGACAATGCATGAGAGGTCAAATAAGCTAATAACAGAGAATGATACAAGAAAATTTGTCACAAATAAGAAAATCAAATATGCCACAAGAAAATTAGTGAAGGAATCATTCACCATAGAGTATATAACAGTCTTGAATTCAGTCTAGGATGAAAAGTTCTTTAGTTTAATTTAGTCTAGAATGGCCTTTAAAAATAAAAGTATACTAATGAATCAAACAGCAGATAAGAGAGGTATGACCAGCCAACTTTGGAGTACGGAGCACACCGATAGCATGATGGTTTCAAGTTGGTGACAAATCTTAACGCACTGCAATAACAGTCCAACATATGAAGATCTGGTGCTGGTGCATACAGTACATGTATAACAAGTCAGTGTAATCAAGAACTAGCAAGAAGATGGCAGCAGCCAGTTTTATTCCTGGCTTCTAAAGAGAACCGAGACTTACATGTGAAATGTTATTTAAGAGACATTTATCAAGCCAAGAACCAAGACACCTATTTTCTTCCCTCAGGTTGTCACAGTATTTGAAGTTTTTTTTTCTTGGTTTTTGTCTGCATTCAAAATGAGTTTGAGTTTAATGAGCTGAGTAAAACATTAAGCGCAGATTAGTTCATGAAGTGCTTCTGTGCACAGCTATATAAAGCTGTAATATCCGCACAATAATGAGTATAATATTTATATAGAAAGAAAAGTGGGCCAAGAACAGGACCTTGGAGTGCTCCATTAGTAGCAGATCAGCCAGTCTGAACTGTGCCTTTAACTTTCACACTTGAAGCCCTACCTAAAAGATAATTAGTAAATCAGACAAGTGTTTGGTCACACATATTAAGCAACTGCAGATCGTGATCTGCAGTATCAAAGGCTTTAAACAAATCAATAAAATACAGCTGCAAAGCTTTATTTATTGATCATGTGTGTTTGTTCCAGCTTGTGTGTCCACGGTTATGGAGAATGTCAGTGGTTCGACTCGCTGCACTCAGAGTGTGTGTGATATTGCTCAAGGGTAAAGCCAGACAGAGGAGTTACGACTTGAGCCAATCTCTGACCATCAGGGAGGTCATAGAGAGGCTACAGTCACAAGTGAACACACACACACATTTACCTAACACTCCAGAACACATACTAAGCTACTTAATAGTATCACAAACACATACAGTACATGCATAAATATATGTACACACTTTCGTGCATACTGGACTATGGTCAGTATCAGTGTCAGGGCAATGTCATAAAGATAATTACAGCCTTTCAGCCTTGGACCTGAGCTAGGCCTCTCTTCTGTCTGTAGGTGTGGGTGTAAGAGAGCGAGGGACCAATATAAATAGAGAGAATGTATGTGAACATTTGTGTCACAACATATTATGAAGCAGATGAGAGAGAGCACCTTTCACATCAAGGCATGATTTCCTCTACAGCACAGCGAAGGAACAGGGGGCCATTAAATTCAATGTGACACTCTCCAGGTTAGCCACTGATGCTTTTTACGTGGGCGTGTCACTTTGAGAGTTTTTAATGACCGTCATGGAAAGTAGAAAGGAGATGCTCACTGGATGGCTGGCATGCGTGCACACACACACATACATACACCTCTGGCAGAAGGTACCGGTAGGACTGGAGAAGCAGCTTTTATAGGGATTACACATATAAAGACCTGGAAGAGGAGACATCTGATAGACTTTTATGAAGAGCCAAAAGTGAAGGGGCACTGCTTTTACTCTAACTGAGCCTATAAATTGCAACTTGAAACATATTCTTGCATCATATGGTTTTGTTTACTGTGACCAATGATGTGATATCCTCTTCAGTCCTCCCCAGAAACAGTTTGTACAACCTTCAAATTTAATGTGTAAGGTTGTGTTTTGGTTATCTGCATGTTATCTGGGCCATCACCAGTCCCTAGGCTGGTGCAAGGTATTGCCACAAGATGCATTTTCTACATTTTCATATCTAAGCCCCTTGTGCCCTCTTGTGGCAGATATTGGTGGGGATTTCAGTCACCGCCAGCCACCAAGCCCTCTTGTCCCTTATTTTAATTGACCTGGATTTGTTCCTTTGCTTTGCTGTAATGAAAAAGCGAGATATGCCTCGAGACTGAAATCCTGTCAGCTTCGCCCTGCAGCAATTCCCACACCCCAAAACTGGGTCCCCTTTACAAGATCTACTGTTTGAAGCTGAGCAGAAATAAAAAATTTAAAAGACCTGGGTGCTTCAATGCCTTGCGATGAATAATTAAGAAATATGCATTTCCAGATAATGGAGAAAAGAATTTTAATACACTGAATTGACTGTAAATCCACTGAAGAAACACACTGGCATATATTTGTGTGGGGCTTGTACATAAGTTTGTACAAGGCAATCAATATGAACAAGGTCATTCAATCAAAACATGTTGGATTAAACATTAAAAAAAAAATGAAATTAGTCTCAGAAAGCGATGAAAATGTAAGCCTTGCAATTAATAGATTAGCTAGTGATTAAAAGATATATAATTCCTCTATTAATATATACAATTCTATATAAATATGCTAAATATGTGACTGAACACAATCATCTCAGCAGTAAAAAAAAATAATGGAGGCTCCCTTTTTAAATAACTGCAATCCTGCTGTCCCATCAAACTAAAGTCACAATTTC